AGCCACTCCTCGGAAGGAAGGTTGGGCAATCCTACTTCCGTAGTGATACTGCCTCAGAAACCCAAGGAGGGGTTGCTATGAGTCGGGGCCGACTCAACGGCACATAACAACAACAACAAAGCAGCTTCATGGCCCAGAGTTTTGCAGAATGGGGGTTGAGGAGAAGCTGAGGAAAATTTCCCACTCTGACCTTTTTCGTATACTTATTCATTCACTCCTTTTCAGCATTCATAGGGGCCTGCTGTGGGAATGCTGGGGAGACCCTGATGCATCCTACCCTCAGACTTTCCCAAGGCATCTCACCAAAAAACCAACCCAAACCCACTGCCATCAAGTCGATTCCAATTCATAGCAACCCTATAGGACAGGGCAGAACTGCCCCATAGGGTTTCCAAGGCTATGATCTTTACAGAAGCAGATTGCCACATCTTTCTCCCACAGAGCTGCTGGTGGATTAGAACTGCTGACTGTTTGTTTAGCAGCCCAGAGCTTAACCAAGGCACCACTAAGGCAACTAACAGCCTGGAAAACTCCATCATGGGCTGGAGTTCAAAGTTTCAAGGTAGGACACAGCAAAGTTCCTAAAATAATGCCAGAAAAGGACAGAGGCCCCAGGAACTCAAGGTCCCTTGAGGATACCTGGGGCTGGGGGGAGGCAGGTCCCTCAACCAAGCAAGACTTAAGCAAAGAGCCCAGGAGGCTCCAGCTTCAGGAGCCCTGGGGAGTAACACACAGTAGTTGCTTCTCCAAACCTGCTCCATTTGGCTGTACCCCACGGTAGCGGGCTACAGCGTGTGCCATTAAAATGTATTTTTTTATCGTTGACATGTGCCAGATGCCCTCCCCATTGGAAGCAGGACCTGGAATTTGGGGCATTTTATCAGTCCTGCTGCTTTTGTTAACCCTTTGGCTTCTCTCCTGGCTGGGCTAGGTGACCTTCAAGTCTCATTCCCCTCTGAGCTCCTTTCTCTCTACCCTGGGAGTGCCCCTTCCAGGGCTGGCCCCACTGGCTCCCATCCTTCCAGGTTCCTGGGGACCCAGCCTGCTGATGAAGCCTAGTGAAAATTAACCCTTGAGTGTTCAGAGTTCCAAGAGAAAGGTCAGAGTCACAGCTCTTCCCCAACAAGCCTGGGCTGAAGCCTAAGGCTGGGAAGGCTCTGCTCTCATCCTGCCCTGGGGGCAGGGGCAGCCCAGAGAGCCGGCTCACTGGGGAAGAGGGTGCATGCTGACTGGGCCCTGGCCTCCTTGGCTTTCTCTATCCAGCAGGAACTAGCCTTCTTGTCACCTACACCTATACCCTTCAGCCTTCAGTGACAAAGCCTCTGGACACTCTTGGCCCAAGTGCAGAGCTTCCCAAACCCTAAACCAGGGACCCACTGCCCAACTAGGGGGTCTGCCAAATAGGAAGTTGAGTGAGACTTAGTGGCACAAGTCCTGCCCAGGGAGTCTGAATATGTATCTCTTCCCAGGAGCCTAGGAGTTTCCTCTGGGAAGAGGAGCTAGGTCTTGGGAAATACCTCCCACTGCTTGGGTTACATTATCATTCTGCCCAGTTCACCAAGCTGCAGGAGCCCACAAAGACCCTAAGTTCCCTGAAGACCCAGCAACTAAATCCCAGCCTAGATGTCTATTGTTGTTGTGAGGTATCCCCAGATCTCTACCTCTGCTACTTTGCACATGCAGTTCCTCTACTATCTTGGTCTTCCTTTCCATTCGCTTACCTTCTGAACCTATCATCTCAAAGCCCAACTCTTCCAGGAAGCCTTCCCAGATTACTAAGGTCTGCTCTGAACTTCTAGTTCCAAAGCTTCCTCTCCATTCATTGTCTACTTGACTGCTGTGCTTCCAATTGGCTTCCTATTTCTCCTTATCCCTTCAGTTATATTGCAAACTCCTTTAGAGAAAGGGCCATAACTTTTATTCTTCTTGTACCTCTAGGTTCCTTTGCATAAAAACAGGATATAGTAAGCAAAAGGCAGGGTCATGGAAGTGGGAAGACCTGGGCCATGACCACAAACTCTCTGTGGGAACTTAGGCAAGTCCCTTCCTCTCTGGTCTTTACTTTTCTCACTAGAAACAAGATCATCTCTAAGGCATTTTTCTGCTCAAAATCATAACTAGACATTTGCATAGACAACCCTCCCATAAGTACTTATGTGTGTCAGCTCCCCAGCAACAGGACCAGACCCTCCTTGGACACTCTGGCTCTCCTGGGGGTTGGATGGGGCACCTGGGGAGAACATACACAATGGGTTGACAAAACCCAATACAGACCCTGGAGGCACCAGTACCCATTGAGGCTGTGCTGCCCCATAAGGACACCTCAGGACAAATGGTCCTACCCCTGTGACACGTAGGCAATCACAAGCTCCAATAGTCCAGCCAATGCTCTGAGCGGCAGCAGCAGCTCTCCCTTCTTACTGTCACCCACCTCCGGGTCTAACCAGTGACCAAGTACTATGACTCTATCTGTAAAACAAAAAGCCTCTTCATTCCTTCTAACCCTGGTTCCAGCCCACCATTTCTGCTGGGTTTCTGGGATAGCCTCCTCCCTGCCTCCATCAACTTCCTCCCCCTATTCATCTGCTACACATCAGACCAGGTCACTCCCTTGCTTGGAACACTTCCGGTGCATCCAGTGTGACTGCGCATTCCTTGAAAACGGGGCCCTTTATATGTGCTCTTCTTACTCTCCTTCCCCCAGTACTCTTGGCAGCAATTAGGTCTCAATAAATTCCTTATATTCACAATGCCACCTTTGATGAGTGTTCTTGCCCCTCAGGATAAAGGCCAAACTCTTCAACCCATTAGACAAAGTCTTTGATGATAGAGGTGGAGAGACTGCTAAAGGTACCTTCTAGGACAGGAGACAGACAGGCTGGCAGGGAAACTTGGGAAGAGAGAAACTGCCAGACCCTAAGAAGTCCCTGGGTGGTGCAGTTAACACGCTCAACTACTAACCAAAAAGTTGGAGGTTTTAGTCAACCCAGAGGTGCCTGGGAAGAAAGGAAAAATTTAAAAAATCAGCCACTGAAAACCCTATGGAGCACAGTTCTCTTCGGACACACATGGGGCACCATGAGTCAGAATCAACTCCACAGCAACTGGCCAACAGGAGCAGGTAGGAGCCACTAGGAGAGAGGTACTAGTGGGTACAAATCCCAGCCACAGAGAAAAATGGCCCAGAAGCTTCTATGGATCTCTGTCCACCAGCCGCAAGTCCTAAGAAAGCATTTCCCCTCTCCGGCCACTGAGGTCCTCAACTGTAAAGTGGGAACTTCGACTACGCGCTCCCAAACACCCCTCCCAACTCTGACAGTCTGGAACCTGGACAGGTTCCACCCCTGGTTGTTGTTGTTGTTGTTGTTAGGTGCCATCAAGTTGGCTCCAACTCATGTGACCATATGTACAACAGAACGAATCCCTGCCTGGTCCTGCACCAGCCTCACAATCCTTGCTATACCAGAGCCCATCATTGCAGCCACTGTGTCAATCCATCTTGCTGAGGGCTTTCCCCTTTTTCATTGACTCTCCACTTTACCAAGCATGATATCCTTCTCCAGGGAATGCTCCCTTCTGACAATATGACCAAAGTCAGTCAAACAAAGTCTGGTCATTTTCGACTCCAAGGAGCATTCCAGCTGCACTTCCTCCAGGATAGATTTGCTAATTCTTCTGGCAGTCCATGGTACTTTCAGTATCCTTCGCCAGCACCACAACTCAAAAGCATCAGCTCTTCTTTGGTATTCCTTATTCATTGTCCAGCTCTCACATGCATATATGGCAATTGAAAATACTGTGATTTGGGTTAGATGCACCTTAGTCCTCAAAGAGAAATCTTTGCTCTTCAGCACTTTAAGAGGTTTTTTGCAGCAGATTTTTCCAGTGCAATACATCATCTGATGTCTTGACTGCTGCTTCCATCGGTATTGGTTATGGAACCAAGTAATATGAAATCTTTGAGAACTTCAATCTTTTCTCCATTTATCATGATGCTGCTTATTGTGAGGATTTTCATTTTCTTTATGTTGAGATGTAATCCATACTGCAGATTGTAGTCTTTAATCTTCATCAGTAAACGCTCCAAGTCATCCCCATTTTCAGCAAGCAAAGTTGTGTCATCTGCATATCACAGGTTGTTGATGAGTCTTCCCCCAATCCTGATGCCACGTTCTTCTTCATATAGTCCAACTTCTTGGATTATTT